TAAACCCTAAATCCCTAGACCCTAATCCCTAAACCCAAGGAGTCCGGCAGGCCTCTTCAGGGCTTATAGGGCTTATAGGGCTGATAGGGCTGATAGGGTTTATAAGGTTTTATAAAGTTTGTATAGGGCTTCTAGGGTTTATGGGGTTTATAGGGTTTATAAGGTTTATAAAGTTTGTATAGGGCTTCTAGGGTTTATGGGGTTTATGGGTTTTTATAAGGTTGATAGGGTGTATAGGGTTTATAGCGTTTATGGGTTTTTATAAGGTTGATAGGGTGTATAAGGCTTATAGGGTTTATATGGCTTTGTAGGGTTTATAGGGTTTATAGCGTTTTAGTGTTGATAGGGCTGATAGGGTCTATAGGGTTTCATCGGGTTTTATAGGGTCTATAGGCCCTAAACCCTAAACCCTGAACCCTAAACCCCAAAACCTGAACCCTAAACCCTAAACGGGCTTGATTTCGACCCTCGCTGCCTTGTGTGCTGGAGAGTCTTGTCCTCGAGGCTCAGCCAGCAATCTTTCGGCCGTGTCTGTCTCGTCAACCCTCAGGGTCTATCTAGGCTTTCAGGTTTGGGGTTTAGGTTTCAGGGCTTAGGGTTTAGGGTTTAGGTTTGAGGGTTTAGGGCTCGGGTTTCGGGTTTAGGGTTTATAGAGTTTAGGGCTAGGGTTTAGGGTTAGAGTCTTACGGTTTGAGAAAAAAGGGCGAGGGTTGAGCGTTCCAGATTCATGGCCTCTCCCCCTACCCCGATTCACGGCCTACTTTGAGGGGGCCTCTGTACTGGTACTTAGTGGCTCTACCAAGGACGATGACAAGGGTTCCATAAGGGTCTAAGGTAGTGTTCCGAGGCCTTGAGGTGAACTGCGGGCTAGCATTCAGTATAGGGGTGAGAATCAGTGGAATCGGACTCTGTGTCTACATTGCGGCTATGGGTATCGCTACTTTGAGAAACCCAAAGGAACAACATTACAGAAAATGTCTACACCATTTATATCCAGACGTTCATATTCCGTGTCTTTTAAGGAAGCTGCTGATGTGATCATCCAAGGGGCTTGTGTGCATAAAGAGCTGGACAGGAGCTCACTTTGCGCATGTTGCTGAATCGCTCTTGGAGCGACTCCGCATCTTCCGAATCGATGAAGGTGTTGCCTGGCACACAGTGGCTGCAGTTGCAGGTGCCTAAGCTGAAACCCCGAAGCCGATGTAGACCCCTGATTGATAAGCCGTCTCTCTTAAAAGGGATTATGATAGGTTCATCATATGGGTAGTTTTGCAAACTAGGGTTTCTTGTGGGGTCCCCAAAGTAGTACGGCACCCTTGTGAAGAGCACCCGAAAAGGGACCTTAATGTAGAGAACTACCCATATAATTAAGGCATTCATTGCCGAAGGTTTCTGGTCCATCTGCAAAGGCCCGGTATCAACTGTAGGGCTATAAGACCTGAAGACTCCAAGTAATGTAGGCGCCCTAATAATCGGCCTGGGGTTCTGGGTTCCTTCATTGTAGAATTCTAACAAGGAGCCCTTGGGGTATAAAGGTAGGTCATTCTTGAGGCCTCTATATTTGCCTACGTTGGGGTCTATAGTCCCTGACAAGGACCTACTTTGGGCCTTTTTTTTTTTTTTTTT